AGCGAGCGAGGAGCGTGCACAGCGAGAGGTGTCTGCACGCGGGGGGTGTGGGTACCCATTTTCACACGGCGGGTGGTGCCGCTCGCTCTGCGCGTTTTGGGTTTTAGCTCACGCATGCACACGTAGGACTACGCTATGGCGGCGCACGCCGCACTGATAACACCTCCACAGGTTTCACTTTTTGCCCTTGATTTTGTCGGCCATCGCCTTCTCCTTCTCCTTTTGCTCCTTCTGCTTCTGCTTGAACGCCAGGTCGTCCTCGTCGTCCGAGTCCTGCTTCTTTTTCTTCTGCTTGTTCACGACGCCTTTCTGCGCTTTGTTGGAAGCGCCGCCGGCGCTGATTGGCTGCGGGGCGGCGGGAGGCCGCCGGTCAGAGACGGCGGCGCTGAGCGGCTGGAGGCCGCGGGCCGGAGCGGCGGTGCGAGGCAACGCGCGCGGCACGAGGTGGAAGACGGGCGTGGGGCACGCGCGCAGGGCGCGTTGCAAGTTGTGAGTAAACGCGGCGTGGCGCGCGCCATGGCAAACACAAAAAAAATTTTCATAACATCGAAGGCTAAGCTCAAAAAAAAATTGGGGGGCGTTACGGAACAGAAAGAATTTTACGTGTCTGTCCTCGACCCAGCCCTAGCTTGGGATGTCCGTTGTATTTATTTATTTATTTATTAGAATTTTACAACGCAACTCCCTCGGACGACACTAGGCACGGGACTGGCGCTAACCCAACAATACAAAAGAACCCGATTCGGTTTCTCTGTTTGTGTGGCACACTATCTCACGCGGTCGGTTGGGTGGACAACCCACCGACCGCTGTCAGCAGGACGCGCGGTTTCTCTGTTTGTGTGCTGCTCAAGTCGAAGGCGAGTTCAACGTCCCTCCTGAGGCCGACGCCGCCGTCACCAGAGCAGCACGAACGGATGTCGACGACCCAGATCGCGCTCGACCGCATCAACGCGGTGCTCAACGCGGCCGGTCTCGACGACACCATCTTCTCGCTCCGCGACGCCAACTCGTCTCTCTTCCTCCTTCTCTTCAAGAAGCTGTTTGCGCGGACCCTTCCGGGCGTGCAGGCCGCGCCGGTGGGCGAGCAGGAGCACGCCGCGAACTACGAGGTGCTGCTGCGGGCCATCGGCGACGACGTCCTCGGCATGGACCTCTCCCATCTCTCGCCGACGCAGCTCGCCGCGGGAGAGCTCGCGCCGCTGTGCAACCTCGCCGAGATCTTCTCCGAGCTGTGCGG